ACTGCCTTGCTGTATCCATCCCCATGTCTGCTTAGTCCTGCTCTTCATTCAGTATTAGTCAGTACTGGATACCTCAGGGTGTCTCATTTTAATCTTGAAATGTTTCCTTACTGTGTTTCATATTTTCAGCCATTTGGTCTTCTAATATGAGCTTACCCTGTCTGGTTCCCAGAAGTTCCAGAGTCTTTACTTTTTGTCTTACTTTCCTAAACAAGAGCAATTCCTTGCTGAGATCTTAATTTTTTATCACAGGCTTTCCATTCACCTACTGGTCAGGAAGTTAATGTTATTGGCAACACTTTGAAAAGAAGCTTTTCAAGTCAATTTATGCAAAGAATTAATGCAAACTTATACTAGTAATAGTATTTCATTTCACTTTTAAAAGCCCTTTTAAGCTTGCCGTTCCATTGCCTGCTCCTCTGAGCAGGCATACCCTCTTTTCCCACATACCTTCTGAGACTGGAGACCATCAGCTCACAGGAACTGCAGCGCTTCTGGAAAGGTGAAGGTAACCCTTATTAGACCCTTTATTTTTCTTTCCTATTGTTCTTTAGCTCTATTGCTTACAGTGCCTTGTAAATCCATCTGACAGTCCGTACTGTCTGTTAGAGCTCCAGTTCTCACCATCCATACTTATCTATCTCACAGCTACTCACTATTATCTGTCTAGCTGTCTTTCTGTCACTACTTTATCTTTCACATTGCTGGAAGGTCTGCTGCCTGATAGATGTCAAACTGAAATAACTAAAGCATGTAGCTGAGAGACAGAGGAGAGCTATCATTAAGGCTTCCAGACCTTTTATACCGAATACACAACCTTCTAAAAGATTTTGGAGACATTTGCTCAAAGAAAAGTGGAAAATAGAACTGGAAGATTCTCTTTTTCTTTTATTGTCTTGTGCTGTGAATAAAATTTATGCGCCATTTCTCACAGTCTTCCAAGTGAGGAAGTGAAGAGGCATCAGATATTCCTCTTCATTCCAGAGAGAAGGGGAAGTGCAGGTCCTCCTCTACGCATTTGGGTGAAGAACCCAGTGAGAAGTTGTAACTGAGACAGAGCTTGAATATAAAGAATAACTGGCAGGATCAGAACTGATCTCAAAATGAATTTTCTTATTTAGCAAGGAAACTGTACACATTATTGAGCAAGGAATCTGGAATAATGCAATTAGGAACTCTTAAGTGTCATTTTAAGCAAATAACGTACTTCTGAGTAAATCATGAAGAGTAATGTGAGTAAACAGTTTGCATGGATAATACAATTTGGGATAGAAGTATGTATGACATGTATGGTAGTTTTACAGTCAGTGCACCACTGTGTGTCAGTGGTACCTACACTATGCTGAAAAGTTCTGACACCCAAACCTTACACTGTACTATCTAGTCATCTGCTGGGTAACTCATAAATCCATCCTTATCTTTGCCTCATGCCACTCATTTTTTAAAATATGCTTTTGTCAAAATGAACATGTTGAGCAGATGGGCAGAAGGAATGAAACAAAATGCCATACATAACAGCTACTCAGACAGGTTCTAAGCTCCCTCATGAGACATCTCTGGAGCAGAAGCCTGGGAAACAAATCCTTTTGCATCGTGGAACACCAGCAAGGGAACCATAGCAAACACTAACTTTTTCTTTCCAGTGCTGCTGCGAACAGCTGAAGGTGTACAGAACCAACCTCCCAATTTACACTGCCGCAGGAATGTCACTGCAGACAGGTGTAATGTCATAAGTGTGAACAGGAACAGGAGAATAAGGAAAGAGGCAGTCAGTTGGCAGTCATTTTCCTATTGGATCTGCTGGTGGTTTACACATTCCTGTTCCTTGAGAGCTTTCTCAACTCCTTGCCTGTTCATGACAACTGTCAAGTGGAGTGTGTCCCCACAGACCATACAGCCATGTTCATCCATGTGATCACGGAACTATCAATCCCTGTGCACAGTCGGCGGGTGCTGATTAAGATAATGCACTACAAATTGTAAAGAAAACAGAAAACTGATTTTAGTTACACAAACTTTGGCCCTGATATCTAATGAATAATATTCTGGGGAAATGACTGTGTGATCCCATGATTAAATGCAGCACTATAACATGTACACACCAAAAGATAAAATAAGTTGCAGAAACTTGCTTGAATTTGCATTCATCGTTGTTTTTTTAACTTAGTTTTTCTGTCTTACATAAACAAGAATACTCTTGAGGAGAAATATGGGGACATATATAAATATGCACAGATGATGGAGAGGAAAAATGACATAAAAAAGCAGGAAATGACAAAAAATAGGCACAACAAGAACAATACCTGCTAAAGCTTTTATTATTTACAACTTGAACATTTCCTTAATTAGGAAAGACACTGAAAAATGAGAAAGAACAGAAAGATCAAGGGACATGCAGAATTTCATTTTGGACAGCAAAAAATTGTTCAAAAATTGTCATTATTGAGTTTCCAATATTAAGACATTCTCCTTGCCTGGAGAGCGTTTTGTGGAACCTGTGTGCAAGGATGCTGTATGCACACGCATGTGCCTTTGCAGTTATCTATGTGTTGTTCACTGCACTGCGCCTTCATTGATTTCTGAAAGGATCACTTCAAGCAAAAATAAGTATTACTATCATTTTGCTCTACCTGTTTCTCTGACAGTTTTTAACAAATCCACATTTTCCAATTATATTTGTCTGTCATTTCACATTTTTATCTGACAAGTAAATTAAGGTCATCAAGAAGTTTCAGGCTTGAAAGGCCCTCTATAATCAAGTGGACTGTGGCATCTCTACCAATACAGTGAAATACATATGCTAGAAACAGAACAAACATTTTTAAGAGTATACAGTCTCAACTTAAAGGTATATCAGTTAGACACAAAAAGAACTAAGTTGGTGGGGAACTTCTCCTCATTCATGAACTTGACTGTGGTTCCTGATAGGAAATGTGTATATTATTAAACTGATAGCTTGTAGTCAGCTTTAAGTAAAACTCCAAGCAGCTTCATCCAGCGGGAGCAATTCAGAACAACAGCATTTTTCATTTTAGTATATAGCGCAGGGCCTTTTTAGACAATAGGATCAGTTCCTACATTTCCACACAGAACTTGAATTATCTTGAAGCAAGGCCCTGAGGTTTTTTTTTTTTATTTTAATGGAATGCTGTTGAAGAAAATCTCAGCTAATTTATCTGAAAGCATCCCTTGCTAAAGTCACTATTTTTGCACTCCTTTTCCTATAAATAAGTAAGTAAATAAATAAATAGCTTGTAGTTTGTTCTCTCACTTCCATTACAGAAATGGAAACTGGGCAAGATACAGTCATTGAAAACCTCCCTTACCCGTTACAACTTCAAAATGACCCTGTCCATCTTTACAACATTTAACGTAACCCTTGCTAGTCTGAAATCATATTCAGTGTTTGAGTTGACAGCCTATTATATTTGCATTTTTATTTCTGTGGCACCATACTATATGCTGAATTTTTTCAACTAAACCTGACACTGTGGAGCATAAGATAATGCAGAGCCATTCCTGCGGTACCACTAGATTCTGTTTTGGAGATTAGCTATTTAGTGAGTATTTGATAAAGGCTTTTGATACATAATTTATTGGAAGATGCGTGCATTTAACTTGTCTAAGGAGAGTTTATGACCACAGATACTGAATGCCTTATAGTTTACTGCCTCTGCATATCTCCATTAAATTATATGAGCAGAAATCTAATGTCAGAAATTTAACAAGTTGGTTTTGCTGAAAATTGGACATAAGTTACTACTACCGTTATTTGTTTCACTTTTATTACAAAGCCAGTTTACACTGCTAACTTCTAAACCTCTCTCAAATATTTAGAAGACAAATGTTTTTTCTTAAATACAGCTTTTTATGAGGCTTTAGGTAGTGATGTGTGCATTGTATTGGGCTTCATCAACTGGAAAGTGCGAAACAGCCTGCTGAGCTTTCTTTTTGCAGCAGCTAGAAGCTGTAATCATCTGATGCCCAAAGAAAACTGAAAGAAGATTTTGTTGGGAAGTTTACAAAGTCAAAGTTGCTTTCTTAATAAATCTAAAATTTATTTTCTTTTCTACACTTACTGTTGTTCTCAGAGGTAACTGTGATTCTGTGATCCTGTGAAATGTGTATTCTTTTTCTAGAACAATATTGTGTTTCTTATAGAAAAAAGGAAGTAAAAATTAGGTAAATGTCATATGATGAAAAAATGGAAGTGTAACTGTGTTTACTTAAGAATAAAAAAGTCACAAAGCAAGAGATATGGTTCTCGTATTGAGTAGTACTTGCACAATGAGGATCATCCTGACTATGAGCAGGTACTTCATCAAAATAAATATTTAATATTATAAAGAAAACATAATAGCTCAAGCCTCTACAGACGATTTCAAATGATCTTTTTTACCTGCTAAATGACCTACAAAAAATAACAGAGAAAAACATGAAGCATAAAAGAATCATTTTTTTCTGTTGCAGTGATGCCAATCCTCAAAGCATATTAAAGATAGAAGTATAAATCTGTAACAATAAATCTAAATACTAGAAACATAGAAGAGTGTGTCAGGCTACATGTTACATGTGCTTTTTCTGCTTAGGATTCTACTGAATTCCTACATGTGTAATACTGCTGCTGACTTTATTTTGGATAGTTAGATGCACAGATATTTTTTAATAACAAGCAAGGTTAAGCTAAAACAGCAATACATTTGTTCTAGTTTTTTGTCCAAAATCCAGTCATTCTCACATCTTAGTAAATTGCAAGTGTCTGATGGTGCTGGCTCCTCATTTTAGAAACCTTTAGAAGTATTCCACACTTCTTCATAGCTGGTACACAGCTGAAGGTTTTTCACTTCACAGATGATACATTCTCACATCATGTCTGGTCTAAGCACCAAGAGAACTACTACAGAGTAATTGCAACTTGTGGCTAGTTAAATGTTGTCACCCATTTTGCATGAATCCCAGGTGCTGGAACTTCAACCTCTTTCTTTGTACCTCTCTTTCAGCTTCTGATATGGCTGCAGAGCAGGGACAGATTCTCGTGATTGCCACTGCTGCTGTTGGTGGATTCACTCTCCTGGTCATCCTCACTTTGTTCTTCCTGATCACTGGGAGGTAATTAAATCTATAGTGTTCTCATTTGCTCAGGGTCTGTGTTATCCAAGCCTAAGAATTTGTAAAGAATAGCTAAGCAATTTAGTCACATTTTCAGAGTTTTTTATTAAATAAGTTTCTGACCTTCTTTCCTGCTGATATGGGCAGGAGGAGAACAAAATTTGAAATACAATGCAACTAACATCGGATCTCTGACATTAGAAGACAAAGAAAAGAACACAAAACACAATATTTATTATAAAATCTCTTAACTGTGAATTGCAAAGCTTTGGAGAATGTAACTTTAGGATTTCTGATGTCTTGGGGCTGGCAGTATAGTTTGGTAAAGACACTGTGTGGACAATTTTTGTTGTTTTTTTTTTTTGCTGTATTAAGTTTGTAGGCAAAAATATCTTACATAGCTGTGTATGATATGTACACTTGTGCATTTATTAAGAGAGAACATAAGAATTATGAAATGAAATTAAACGGAGGAAAACCTTACTCTAGAATACTGGGATGATTTAGCTTCCTGTTTGGTTGATTAACATTTTATTGCAGATACTCTTGTAAATCTACATTGCAACAGCGCTGTAGCAAGTGAATTCACTGATTATTTTTTATAATGTTGGTGATTTTTATTCTTGCAAGTCCATTTTATTCCTTTTAGCACAGTGCTAATTGTCTACCTTTCCTCAATTGGTATGTTGGTCAGAATCAAATAAAGACATTGTGCTAATGGTTTAGAAACTGTTTTGATTTGACTGGCTTGATGCTGTGCTCAACTGCACACTGAAAGTTCAAGGTAATGCACAAATTCTTAACAGACTTGCTAAAAATGATGGTAGTGATCAGAATCACAGACCTTGCTGGAGCTCAAGATCACACGTGACACAGAGCATCTGTTTTTTTGTGTGTGTGACTTTAGGATTTTGTTTCTTTCTACCAGGAAATAAAGCAGAATTTAAAAGGATAGAGACAGTATGTCCACACTTGCTCTGTAAGACATTAGTGGCACTGCAGTTCTGCTTTGGGTCAGAAAAGCCTTAAAAATTCCTAATATTCTGTAGAGGTATGGGGCTAAGCAGAGGGAGTCGGGCTCTTATCTCTTGCAGTAAGTTCTGTAGGAGGAACTGTGTAGGCTTTGGGCCATTCGCACTCTTTTTGCCTCTCCTTTCTTCATATGCATAAAACTGGTGGAAGAGCCTCCATGTAAGGAGGGTTCTCCATGGAGTTTCCCCCTTATTCAGCTTTGGGACAGATAAATCTGGGGTTTGGAAGGGGTTTTGCACAATTCTTGGGCCTGTTTAGAGTCTGTCCTTTGCAGGAAAGATGTTAAAGTTACTTCTATGAAGGTGCTAATGGTTGTTACAGATTGGGTTGATATTAACAGACAGTGCTGTGCATTCAGATTTGTAAATATTTTTCTGTTGTTTGTATACCATTACCTCTGATTAGGAAAGAAAATGATGTACCAGCGCAGGCATTATGTGAATAATAATAAATCTGGTTAAGTCTAACTGGAACACACTGTAATCTCAATCTTAGAAGCTTATAAAATATTCGTACAATTACTAGAAACATTGACAAACATTAGTCTCTTTCAGACAGAAGAGTTACTCAAAAACAGACTTTCAGAGAAAATGATTCTCTGGAATCCTTGAGTGCAATTCCTAAAAGCCCAAGCCAAACTTTTCCCTGATAAAACACTCAGTAAACTCAGGAATGAAAAAAAAAAAAGAAATGAGTTTCTTTCTAGGTTTATTCTTCCTGTTTGCTAATGTTAAAGATATCAGAGATTCTCTTAGCTTTCTAACATTTCACTCAATTGAACCATTTCAATTATGTAAGATGTGAATTCATTTTTAAGTACTTCTTAATTAAATGATAAGAATGTACTGCATAGAAGACAGAGCAAGAAAATTTTGAATAAATACTATTTGCTGTAGTACTGGAGACAGATTTCAGCATGAAGAATGGGATTGGTATACTACAGATGTGCTCTTTGCTGTTTAGAATTAGCAATTTGATGAGCTACTGAGTCACAATACTGCTGATGCTGATTCATAGTGAAGAGGCTGGGTTAAATGAGCATCTACCTGCCTCTGCACTCCACTGAGCGGTTATCCACCAAGAGCAAGCAAGAGACATGGCTCTCCATTGCAGGTAGAAAAATGAAAGCAATAGTGACTTGAAGGTACAATGTAGGCAGTGAGACTGGGGTCTTGGCTAAATTCTGGAAAACAGAGTAGTAAAGCTTACTGTGATTTATCATTACACAAATTATTCCTTTCAAGTGATTTTTCTAGCTAACAGTAGTAGGAGCTGGAACTGGAAGAGTCCACTGCTGGTTCTCACTGGCATTTGTAGTCAAATTCTGGGGCTTTGAATACTAGGGAGAATTTTAAGGGTTTAGAGGGCTGTTTCTCTGAATGTTCCTCTGGTCAGACCAAGTGTATTCCAAGTGTAACACTTTGTGTTCAGTATTGTTCTTGGTAATTGGAAACTACTGGTCACAGCAACTGGTGACAACAATGCAGAGATTTCCACAGAAGCTGAAAATACTGTGGTTAGTGTTTCCATACATTAGTGTACGTACAACTTATTGCCAGGTATGTTAGCTTCAGAAGTTTCTGCTCTTCAAGGGTTCATCTCCACAGCAATGAATGCATTTGTGAGTGACCTTTTTCAGTCTTCAGTCAGTAGTTTGAATGAACCATTGATATGTGGTGAATGTGTTCACTTATTTCTCATAACTCCATGATTACTATTTCACTAGAAATACAATCGATAATTGTAGTTTGTGTTATAAGTTTAATATGAACACAGGAAAGCTAGTCTGTGCCTGACAGGCTGAACAGAGCTAACAGAAGTAAAAATACCGGTCGTAATGGATACAAAAAAATTATTTTCTTATGAACCCAGTTAAACTCAAAGAACTTATCTTATGAAGAAATTATAAGCTTTTTGACCCACTGGGAATAAGAGTTATTAGGATAAGATTTGGTCTGTGTGAATCAATGTATGCAAACAAGGGTGCAGAAAAATAATATAAGTATCAACATTCTTTCAAGCATGGGAATAAAGTATTGCATCAAACTTTGGTAGTTGTGTTCACTACTAATCATCCACCTGTGATTTATCTTCACTAATCTGCTTGTAGTTCTTCAGGTTTGTTTCTCTCCTTAGTGTCAATACCAAATGTCTGTGGATGCAGAATGTAAAGACTTTGGCTTTCATAAAACTGCAGAGAAAACTTAACGTACATTTATTTTATGCATTATATTCATTTTAATAAAAACCTCACTTGCTTTTCTTAAAAGATGCCAGTGGTACATAAAGGCCAAAATGAAATCTGAAGAGAAAAGAAGGGCTCATTTGCAAAATGGAAATTGTAAGTAGTTTAACACTGTGTTACATAAAAAATGTATTATATTTTAAATGAAAAGGATTCATGGTTTTCTCTTCATCTTTTGCCCGTGATATTTTAATCTGGCCATTTGCATAGTTCCTTATTATCTGCACCATCAGGACTGTTCTTGTATGCTCTCTAGAACAATTGACACCGAATTCACAAAAGGATTCTTTTGTGTTCTATTAATCATATTTGTCAATTTTCCAGGTGAATTTTTGTGAATTCATCACTGGACTGGGCCATGTTGATTATCTGCCTCAAAATTCCACTCCTAGTGACCATGTTCCTTATTTGTATTCAGTTCTCTATTAGTGTCTTTTGGGATCTACACTTCCAGCCACACAACAAATAAGACTCCCTTCTCTCTCTTGCTTACTGATCACTACTGTGAAAGAAAAACTCTCATGGGCAGAGTGTTAATTTATTTAGCTAAGTGTAGCTACTTAGTTTAAATTAGTAGTCTGATTGTTTTATGTTGGAGTTGATTAAAAAAAAAAAAAAGGTTTTATTTATTGTTAGCTTGTAGGAAGGTCTTTGTAGTTTGATTAATTTTTTATTCCTTTTGACAACATCTCTAGAACTATCATGATCAAGACAAAAGCTACATCACAAGAAATAAAATCATTTTTTGTGTGACAAAACTGTATTGAGGCTCCTTCCATATTGAGAAGGGGCACATTATAGTATGAAAGATATTTCTTAGATTTGTTTGTCATTTGTTTTCAAATCTGATCAGGAAGAGCAGCAAACAAAAACCTTTCTGCTGCAGAGTTTCATATATGCCTCTGGAGGCCACACCTGAATTTGAGAAAAGCCTCACTCGGTGTCTTTCATGCCAGGACAAATGATGACCCTATTTCACACTGACACAAAGCTTCATCTTATGAGGCCTCTTATTCCTTTGCAGTTATCAAAGCATCAGACTTAAAGGAGCATTTCCCAGATCATGCGTTCCATAGGATAAAGGATAAAGAGGAGCTACTGTGAGTTACTCCAGTAGCTAAAACTGTAGCCAACAATATTCCTTCCTTTACAACGGGGCAATTAGTGCCTCCACCAGAAGTACCGTTTTCATGCTAGTAGCAATTCTTGCCTTACTGGGCTGTTTATTGATTTGGTATCCAGCGTCTTAACCTGAAACAATTTAGGCAGCTGCAGAGTTTCTACCTGGATCAGTATAAGGATGACCTCTCCTAAACAGATTGAAGCTTTTTAAAAGAAATTTTACTGTAAAACTTACACTGGTTAAAATTGACTGTTCCTACTACCAGCTTTTTATCCATGTTTTGTTTCCTCTGCTGCGCACAGAGGAGAGCCATCTTGTGTTTATCCATCCTATCTCCCTTGGGAAACCTTTATGACTTAGAGGAAGATTTCAGGAACCATGCCCTTTGAAGGGAGTTAGGAAAGGGTCCGTGATCCAGCTGATAACGTGAAATCCCATGATGTCTGGTGTGCTTCACATTTGAATATAGCATGTGTCCTCTCGTCAGCGTTGGTTCAAATGGGTACTGCAGGTGATTTGATGAAGCCCATCCACATTTGTATGCCCTGAACTAGGTGTCATCTACTGCATTTAGCTGCATCAGATAATGAAGTACTTTGGACTCATCCACTAAGTGATAAGAGGAAAAAGATTACATAGTATTTAATTCTTTTTGAAGAGGTTCTCTGGACCCAGCTGCAATACCCTGTGAACTTGATGCACCATCTACATCAATGTCTGTTAATGAATTGAAAGTTTTCCAGAACTTAATCACCACATAGCAGGAGCCAAAAAAAAAATTCCCATCCAGATAGTCCAAAAGAAACAACATAAGTTCTTGGACATGCTACACTCAGAAGCACTAGGGGTATTAGACATGCCAGAAAATGATGGCTTGCTGGAACCTGCCAAAGCAATCTGGCACTAACCTACTGTTGCTGCAGCCATCTCCTAGGAAGCAGACAGAAATTATTAAAGCTTTGTTAATGGATCTGGGTATTTTTGTTCTCATCTTGCACCTGGCTCGTTGGTTGTGCAAACTGATCAGCATAGAACAAAGCAGCACAGTCCTCCAGGACCCATTCTGAGAGGAAAAAATCTCAAAGACTGGACCTGGTTGGCAAAAGGAATGTTTATCAGTCCACCAGTAAAAGACAGAAGTAAATTAGCAAGCTGTGTTTTCCAAGTAAATGACAGTCTAAATTGTCCAAGGAGTAACAAACAGGAATTTAAACTGCTTGGCAGTAATCACTGTCAGTCCTGAGGATCTGCTTTTCCTCATATCTTTGAGCCTTCACTTGGTGTCTCTGTAGACACCCTTCCAAGTGAGCAGCTCTCTGCATTTTCTAAGGTTGTAGTTTCCCAGTTTACCAACTGTACTTGAAAAATTTCTTCAGGATATGAGTTAAGTGCAAAGACAACAAAGAGTTTCTTCAGACAAAAATATTAAATGGCAATTGGAAAGGGAATACTTACAATTGGGGGAAAAAAAAAAAAAGAAAGAAAGAAAAAACCACTTTGTCTTACCTAGAGTAGTATTTTCCTCAAAACTTATGTAGGGCTATTATTTAACTTTTTTCCTCAGGAGGTGCTTGTGTTCAGCTGCAGCAAAGACAAAACTGCACCAGAAGTTCACATTGTCTTATCAGTTGAAATCCAAAAATAGAGTTTTCTAAAGGCCTTTGACTTTTTGTTCCTGTGGCACCTGTGTAACCAGCAAACATGATAGTAAGCAGCAAGCAATGATATATGGCATTCAGAGCATTTAGAGAACCTAATACCTGTATTTTTCTCTGGGTTTTACTCCAATACCATTGCAAGCTAAAATGAAGACTGATAGAACAATGCACTGCAACAATCCTGAAAACAATTCCATGCTTTCACTCACCTAGAATATATTAGGGAATTACAACGGAGTCCTGCAGAACATTAGTGACACTTTCAGGCAGTAATTTTGAATAGTTTTGATTGTGTCAGATTGGCAGAAATTTGTCCTCTACCTCAAAAGGTAAACTGTAATGTCTTACAAGAATCACTTGGGGGAAAAAAAAAAAAAAAAAAAAAAAAAAAAAAAAAAAACAGAAACTAAAAAGCACTCGAAGGATAAATAAGAATAAAAAGAAATATGTCAGTCTGTGCTCAGTCTTTGAAGACCTAGTACTTCCAGACTTGCAGCAAATGAGAATAACTCTTGTATATTCTACAGTTTCTGTGAAATCAGTAGCTGGTTTTGGAGTCATCCTTTGTTAGGTTCTGACAATTTTAAAATGATATATATAGATTAATTTTTTAAAAAGAAGTAAAACACATATTGTTATAGTATGTGAGTATCAAAGAATTGTTGACTCTTAGCATTCTCTCTGTTTTGCAGTACGTTTCCCAGGAATCAAAACATATATTGATCCAGACACGTATGAAGACCCATCCCTTGCTGTCCATGAATTTGCAAAGGAGATAGATCCTTCAAGAATTCGTATTGAGAGAGTTATTGGGGCAGGTAAAAGCATATACACTCAAAAGCTATGCATGAAAGGACTGTTTTTCTGAAGTTGCTATGATAATGCAAGTAGACAAGTAGTACAAATGTGGGCATACTTCACTGATTGACCACTGTATTCTCAAGTATCACTAAGCTTCTGATCTAAAGTTGTATCGGCAGTTTTGCTGCACTTTTGCTGCTAAGGATCTCCGTGTGCTTATTCTCCCATGCAGTTCAGATGCTTCAACAAGCTTGTGGAGTTCTGGTACAGATAGACTTTCTAAATAGATTGGAAAACAATGAGGAAGATAAAATATGATACAATTAGCATTAGTACTACTGTGCTTTTCTATTTAGAAAAGAAACAATAAGAAAACATACATAATCAAACATTATCCATATATATTCTCTCAGAGTTTAGTACTCATTGGGTTTTGTGCTTCTGGAAAGTCCCTAATGGAGCTATTCTCTAAGAACTGTTACACTCCTTCTTCTGACCCTCTCTGTCGTTCTGTCTTTGCAGTGTTATATGAGTTTTATACACTATGAAAATGTAGTAATTCTTACTTTTTTTGAATTTGCTGTATGATTGACCCAGCCCACTGAGCTCTCCTTTCTCTTTAAAGGAATGTTTGACACAGATACTAGATTTCCTTACAGAGAAGAAAAAAACTTGTAAAGAGCAGAGTCTTGCAAAATCATTTCTTTTAACTTGTGTTCTGAAACTCTAGGACATATAGCATGTCATTATTGACCAATTGAGATTGTTTACTGTCTGTTTTACTCTGTTGTTTGAGGACCTAGAGAATATAGGCTCAGATAGGTTCTTAAGAGGTTCTAAAACTAGTAGATCTCAGTGCGTGCCTTCTGACCAACAGGTCATCATTCAGAATGTCCACCACCATTTCTCACTGTTAGAACAGATAAAACAAAAGAGATTGACAGGAGAATCTGGAGTTCTCTGTCCTGCTTACATCCTCAGTGCTGTTGCCTGAACACTGTCAGTGGCTGAGAAATATTAATCTATACTGAGTCACTGAAATTCTGAGCCCCAATTCCATCTCTGATACTTCTTTTCTGCTTGTGAATTAACCCTACGTGTGTCTACAATTTACAATATATGGTTATTTCTCTCCATCAGTAGGATACTGTTAGCAGTGACTGAGTTTTGTAAATTGCTGTCTTAAAGATACTTACAATACTAACTACAAACATTCTAGTAAGAATTAGTACAATCCAGATTTCATTGTCCATCTTTGAGCTACCTGTTCTTGGCCATCTTTAACAATACTGCTTTTTACTTACTAAATGAATACCCTCATAAAAACTCTGGGTTTTTGTTGTTGTTGTTGTTTGATTTTTATTTTTTTTTTTACTTTTTTACTTATTCTAATTGTAATGCCATCAAGAAAAAAAAATATTCAAAGTACAGCAGGCAGCTAAACTCAGTTACACCTTGTGGAAGTGTGACGGTTAAAAAAGAATAAAAATTAAAGGCTGTAATTCTGTAATTTGTTCATAGTGAGCCTGTCATAGGACTGCTAACTGGTATTGTCAGGGAAATTATTATCAAAATACATAATGCACTGTGACTCTTCTTTTTTATCGTGGCTTCATATGTTTTAGTCACTTAGGAAGAGAGAGGTATCTTTCAGTTGAGGTCCCTCATTTAATGGTACATTGCTACGCTGGTTACAAACTGCGCTGCAGTGAAGGTGTTTCATGCCATAGGAGATGTCATGAAATTAAACGCATATAACGTGGTAGACATAAAATCTGGTCTGTTAACAAGCAGGGAAGAGAAGTACTGACTTGAAAGTAAGAGAGAAAAATCTGTTTCTTCCTGAATTCCATATAGCAAGAGTACTACAGAGTATACTTGATTGTTTAAGAGAGATAATGTGTATCTAATGTGTAGCTGGCACTGTGCACTGTATGAGTTATTAGCTTAAGCCCTTAGAGGGCTGACTTTTGCAGAAAACATTATATTTGATTTCTTTTGTTTCTTCCTTTTCTCCAGACATACTATAGATACTGATTACAAAGCATATTGAAAGACCTTCAGCATTGGAATGGCTGCTGATTTCAAAGGAGAATATGACAGAGGAGGGTTGGGCTTACCGATTTTTGTTCAGATGAAAATTGTGTCCTTATTCTCAACTTAACTCATTTATGAAAATTCCTTATTCAGTATCTCTCTCTCTCTTGTTGTAAGCCCAGGAGTGATTTTTTTGTCTGCTTTGACATATTTTATTTTTATTTATTTAATCTTATAAAATTACTGAATAATCTGCCATCTTCAAAGGTATTTGCCTGGTAGGACTTGCGAACTATTTCAGATGAAATTTAAACCCAGTTTCATGCAGGCAAGATACAGGTTAAATATTGTTTCTAAGGCAGGGAGACTACAAATTCTCACAAATTCTATCTTGGAAAGCTGCTAGGGGATGTATCATACAATTGTAATTCACAGCAGTCATGATGCTTCCTTTATGCTTTCTCTGATTCTGTACCAAACTTTGTAACCATATGTAAAATAGGCGTCTCATCCCAGAAGAATTACTTCTAAAATATTTTTAAGATTTTCAGATTAGTGAAAAAAATAAAGTATTTTACCAAATGAATCAATATTAATGATAAAACTCTTTAAATTAACAATTGAATTAATATAGCTCTTAGAGCAGCACTTTTTGATCAACTTATTTTGATTAATAATTTTCATTGTGAATTTCTGTAATTTTTTGAAACAGAAACTTTTTCCATTTAAGAACTAAAAACTTTTATTTTGCAAAATATCAGATTGAAACATAGCAAATATTCAATTTTTTTCATAGATTGTTTGGACAGAAAAATTTGAAACTGATCTTTTCCTGCAAGTAGTTTCGAGTTTGCTTTTGTAATACAAAAATTCATGTCCAAAAATCCCTTGGCAATTCACTAGTTCCATAGCAGATGGCTTTGACACTCAAGACAAGATTTTTCATCGCTACAGCTATCAGACATAATAGCTAAAATAGAAAGAGCAAAGCAGCAACAAGTTAAAAAAATGCTGCTGAGCCCATGAGACTTCTCACTTTGAGAAAAGAAAAATAATAATCTCTTGCTAAAATCCTTTCAAGTAATCCTAGTGGAATTTACCAAGCTAATGTTTTTGAGCACAACCACTACATTCCATGGTGGCAGATAATTGAGCCTTTTACTTCAATTCCAGTACTCCCCTTTGTCATGCTTTCAGTATTCCAGTACATTTACAAACTCCAAATTACTGTCCTTCCTTCTGGTACTTTGGTGTAAATAAAGCAATTAAAATACAAGCTTTGCAAAATCCTTTCTAAATTGTTCACTGTTTGTCACTGGAGAGTATGAAGATCTGCATTAAAGTAACAAAACTGTACCTCAATGCGTACTCAAGCTGGCCATCTAGTCAGGCTCCCCATTATCCCATTCACTACTACCTTACATCTGGATTCTCTGAAAAGCAAAGATGCTATTTTGTAGACCTTCTGATTGAATGTAAGTGCACCTAAGTTAATAGTTGTTAATTATTTTTTTGTTAGTCCTTGAAGAACTTATGCTGATACCCTGGTTCAAACAGGAGGGTAAAAGCAGCAGTGGCATTTGCAATTTGATCAAATATTTATAATAGTAAGCAGATTAGAATACCAAAAGCAAAATAAAAATTATTTGCTACTGAGTATTCTATTGCAACTGTTTGGGGATATTACTATTAAGACACAAGCAGTGTTCTGAAATAAAATTATTTCTGATTATGGAATTGTAAAAAGTTAAAATCAAATCCCTCCACTTAACTAAGTGGAGGTAAATTTAGTGTTAGCTAAACTAAGTACTGTGTAAACACTTAGTGAACACCTATAAATATGCTTCGCTTTCATTTCCCATGGTGATATCAACCAAATAAGCAAGTGCTAATGAAGTCCACAATCTAGCAATAGTTGCTGTTTAAATTGTGAAGTTGATTAGTCAATTTCCTTTTATTACATCCTCTACTTACAGCAAAATTTTACTGTTGTTTAATTTCATAATGCATATTCTTGGTTTCAAAACACTTGGTAAGGTTTTTTTTATCCTTAGTATTAAATATTCCATTATACTCCCAATTCCCACAGTTCCCACAGTTTGCCCTTCTTTGCTGTAGATTTTTCTTCAGATTATCCCATTCAGCCTCACTTTGTATTGAGCTCATTGCACCTACTGACATGCAATGACATCCTTTGGTTTTGTCCTATATGTGATGCTTTTTTTACCCCAGACATCTTGCTCTTAAGTTTAAATCTTCAGCCACTCTTCTTAAAAGGAATTCCCAGACATTCTTTGTCAAGTCTCTATTAAAAGTGACACTTATCCTTGTATTTTCTTTATTCTGTCAATTTTCCCAAAGGTCTAATGACTGAAAGTGTGGGAAATGACTTGAGCTGTATTTGGTGCTATAACCTTTCAGTTCTATCAACAGCGATTATGTATTGTAAGATATTTGTTTTGATCTCATGCAGTAATACAAGAATGCATATAAGGCTTTGAAGTAGACTGACTACTCCTGTTTCACTTTAAATAACATGTATTTTGTGACAAGGTGAGAAAAGGAATGTGTGGCTTCCATAAGGCAAGTCTCTGGAGTGCTCAATTAGCTTCTTTTTGCATGACTTACAGTAAGACATATCAGTTTTATACCATTAAAACACATGCTATTAAAACTGAGCACACAATGAACTCTGTTGTTTTCTCTAGTTACTGACAGCTTTTTCTGTGGAGCAAGAAATAACAGTCACTTCATTGACACCTGGCTCTTAGCTTCTACTTATACTATACACAAATACATTTACTGTTGCAAAGGTAGAATTTGTCTTGATTATCTCCACAAAATCACAGAATCATTGGGGTGAAAGGGACCTCTGGAGATTACTGCTGAAACAGTTCTTGACAGCAGGGTGCCCAGGACAGCACCCAGGATGCTCTTGAACATCTCCAGAGAAGGAGACTTCACCACCTTTCTTGTGACAGCGCTCTGTCATTCTCACATGTAAAGCAGTTTTCCTCACGTTCAGAAGGAAATTCCTATTTCCATTTCTGCTCATTGCTTCTTCTGTTGCTGTGATTCTATGATTCTGTCTCATTCAAAACATTCAGGATTCGTGATTTTGTTTTGTAGTAGGATTCTGGAAGTTCAGGTCATCTACTGTTTTCTCAGGTGTCACATGCAGGCAGACTGACAAAGGGGATAAATATCTATAAAATTCCCTGCCCAGCTTCCCCTTTTGTCAAGATTCCCAGAGCATAAGTCTTGTGACATTATTTTCATATACGTAACATATCTTTAGGAAACAAACTTTTATTTATTTTCAAAAATTAGATAAACACAAAAGAAATAGGTAGGAAGGAGACCTAGGAAACTTGGCTTTTGTTAGAATATGCTAATTTATTCAAAGGTTATGTTCAGCATCTGTTAATTACACTCTTGCACTTCTGTGATATCTCTGTTTTGAAGCGAATGACAAGCTATGAAGTAGGTGGTTTTTTTTAAATCCCTCCACTCTTCCTGAATCTTACTGGGTCGTAAAACCTGTTTGATTTTGTAATGGAAGTGACAGAGCCTAATAAAATAAAGACTTTGTGACAATATTCATTCTCATCTTATAATATCAGGCAGTTACAGTTTTCTGAAGTGGGACTTCTAATCAATCCTTTCTCTTCTGTATTTGGTTTATATCTAATCACACTCATAGGATAGAGCTCTCTTATATTCATTCATTCTGTAGTTAACCTTTAAGGAAAACTAGTTCCCACATCACTTACTGCAGTTTATAACAAATCATATCCTCCAGATAAATGTAGGTCTTCTTATGACTCTTTTTGTTTTTCAGCAATTTTGATTCCAAAATGGCTGGGGTATCAAATTTAATTTTGCTATGGAAATACCCTGCAACTGATAAGTGCTTTGACACATTCTTATAAACATTGTTTTTGATTTATTGAATTATGACCCATTGAAACCTGACCTGCAGACATCCAGAGAATATTTGGTATGGGATTTAAATAACTTCTGAGTTGCTCCAAGATCAAAGAAAAGTTCTGACTTCCATACAAACTTAACTAGTAAATGTGTAAAGGGAATACAAGAAGATGTGCTTTCTTCAATGGCCCTTTCTTACGCAGAACATCAGTTGAAGCAAGCTTTGGGATTCCTCTCACTACACAAGAATCCTGATTTGCTGAAACTGTTGTCCTTTGACTGTCCAAACAGTGACATAGGCGATTAGTTTCATGTAAGCAATAAAGCCATTTAAATAAATCATATGGAAGTGCTCTTCTGGGCAAAATAGAAGTACATTTTTAAGTGCTTTCTACAACTGAAAGCCAGATATTCTGATATTGTTATGGCATTTGTATTCATATATGTGTTAATACCACGTCCGTCTCAAATATCTGCAGAAAGGTATTTCGTCATCATTACAATTAAAATCTAACCATCATTACATTATTTCCTCATAGCATGCTCATTTAGATCACAAAGACTTTGATACCAAAGTTTAGTTTCAAAGTCTCAGTTAAGGAGGATAAACTATGCAATGTAGAGCAGATGATTAGACTGCTGCAGTCCCCATGATCTCGGGGTAGTGGCACCAATGAATGTTGTCACTCATAAACTTGAATATCCAATCCTCTATTTTTATTGAGAAGAAAAGTATCTAGTTCTATGGGCTGTGCAAGTCTTGGGTATTTTTGTGTTCTAGTTTTCTTGATGGCTACAAATAACGTAGAGCTATTAAAAAGGACAATTTATAAGACAACTACTGAAGGTTAATTTAAAAAAAAAAAGTTGTTTATGCTCACTAGTACAAATGGTTCCTTAGGCATTGTGAATGATCTAACATTTTTTCTACTTAAGGTGAATTTGGGGAAGTATGCAGTGGACGTCTGAAGACACCAGGAAAAAGAGAGATACCTGTTGCAATTAAAACTCTGAAAGGTGGTTATATGGACAGGCAAAGAAGAGATTTCCTGAGAGAAGCTAGTATAATGGGTCAGTTTGATCACCCAAATATAATTCGTCTTGAAGGAGTTGTTACAAAAAGTAAGTTACTATAATATACTATATAATATACTATAAATAGCTTTTCCTTGGTTTTCCCATTCTGTGTCTTCTAGTATCAATATTAAGAATTCTACAGTTGATACAGGTTGCAGTGTTCAGAAAATACGTAAATCCTAGGGACATCAAGTACTGCATAGTTTGAGAGCACAGTGAGAAATACTCAGCCTATCTGTTTTCAATTAGAAATGTGTTGGTTATTTGTTCTGGCTTGGTTTGATTTTTTTAACTAAAAATCCTCCTCATTCAAATAAAATTGTTACAGTTTTATATGAAACAGCATTGCAGAGTTTGCCTATGGGCAAATGGAATTCATTAGAGAGAACCACCAATGTAACTGAGTTAACAGTGAGGTCAATTCAGCCTGTAGTGTTTCTAAGATAGCTAGCAGCCGTATTGTTCCTCTCCCACAAACACTCACTGATTCTTCAGTTGAATTTTGCTCATTTTGGTACCAGAAGAGATCAAACTGCTATTTTAAAGAAATAAAAATACAAACAATTTTGAACTTACTGCACACTTTCAAATGATTTACTAAAATTCCAGAATAATCTATGAAAATGTCTTACATTGCAATTGCCAAGAGGCTAACAATCTCTTTGACATCTAGCATTTTTTATCTGAGTTTTAACTTTTTTATGAAATACTGGAAAACGTAAGTATTATATGAAGGTCTTATTAACGTGCAAGTAATTTCTTTAATGCTGACTTTTTGCTGTATTTTATGCTAAAGCTCAGAAGGCATTTTCTTCTTGTAATTAATCATTGCCTCAACCCAGCTATGTTGTTTGCTGATTTGGAATGCTTTCTTATATTTCTCTTTTAAAACGTTGCAGAATGCATCAAGAGGAAGTTTTTGTGTGTGTAAGACAATGATGCCCTCTTACCTTCACAGTAGATACAAAGAATACAAATATTTCTTATTTTCACCTTGTTACAGTATCTAAATTATGTTTGAAAAACACAGCATACTAGAGCACAAAGGAAATTGCATCTCCTGAACTCATGTCCCTGGAATGGAAATTCAGTAGAGTTAAGGGATGACCTTGTGAAAATCTGTCTCTCTCTGGTTCTAAATTAAGATGAAGAAGATCAATTTGTTCTTCTTCATGCAGTATTGCAAGAATAAATTCATTATTGTTTAGGAATGCATGGTTATTAGACTAACAAAATCCATTGTTGCTCGCTTCTGGAAAGATATGGCTTAGTCTCCATTGCTCTCCTGTCAGTAGCTGTTCTGCTGACAGCAGACAAGAGCACAAGTTAATGCTGACTGAGCAGCATTGGATATCTTTGTTGGGATGCGTAAATACACAGAAGCCAAACTGAACTTAGCTCCTTGATTCATAATGAGAAATATAACATCAATTAGAATTTCACCAGCCATCACTAGTTTCACACGTGTGACCAAAATCCATATGGTAAATGTAGCAGTGTGTCTCATCTCTGAAAAATTCTAAAGGCCTTAATTTATGAACACTGTTTAAATCCAATTAGTCAGTGCACACAGCTTCCAGAATAATGTACTTGGCAATGGCATGGTTGTTTAATCTCTGCCACATTTATAAATTTTCTTTCTGTAATGCCTCATCATCAGTCCAGAGAGAAATGCAAATTGCATTAAGAAAACAGAAACAAACAGATAAATCAAAGCTACAGTGTTGGCCTGTTTGTTCCTGTTCTACAGGAAAAATGGTTATAGACAACCTTAAGTCAAGAAGTCATCATTAGTAGTTGTGCTTTTCTCTCTGGGTTCAACACACTATTATTTTTTTGCGAATGTTTGCTTAGACGTAACATAACAATATAGATGTAACTGTTACAGTTATGTTGAACTCTCAGATATAAAAGAAAAACTTTGAAAGCAAATGTGGTTTAGGTAGAGCAGGTTTAAAACAACAATTATACAACAATAATTATAGAGTGAAAAGAATACACAAGGTATCAGATTTCACCCTAAGAGCTGGAAAGTGCAAATTATACAAAATGTGAAGTACTAAGTTGAGCAGTATTGCTTTGCTGCAGAGAACAAGTTAGGAGGCAAGCTGAGCAATGGGCACACACACTCTAGTATGCTTCTCTTTTGCTTTAATACTGCTCTACTTGTGGTAGTTAGTGAATGACATGTCCTTATCTGGGAACAAAGTAATATCTCTCTAAATGCTGATTCTAAGACTGTAAAAGCAAACTAGGGACAGAAGTTTCCAATGACTAAAAGGGATGCTATAAAAGTCAGACAGAACCTTGTCCTAGCCAAATTATTTATGCAATGACAGCATGATTAAAAGTTGTTTTGTGTTAAAGCTTAGATTAATAATAGCAAAAACTCTTTAAGTGATGTGCATTACAGTTCCACTAACCTATAAAGGCATATTGGATGCAGTAACTTTGATTAATAGAAGTGTAATGCTGTTCTTAGCACACTCTTTCCTCTTTATAACTGTTAGTCATTAACTTCTAGCTGCTGCTAATATATATTGCATCAGTTTGTAAGCAGTACCTTCCATTACAGTGTCATTGACTATTGAACAAAAAAGAAAAGGATTTGATTGTGATAAACAGAAATGCTCTACCAAATCAATAGCTATTGACTGGGGCAATAATGAATTTGTCTGTTCATTACAAACGTGAGCTCTTATCCAGTGCTACCAGCTCAGCAAATGTGAACTTCTAAAAGATACTGTTTCCAAAATTGCTCTGGAATATGTACTGTATACAGCAAAAAATGCTAACCTAAGCTTTCTCAAAAGTAGATCTTCAACAGAATTTTAATCCTCTTTTCTAATTGCATTTGTCCTAACTGAGAACCCTAATTGCAGAGAAACATTGCTGTAGTGCAAGCTCTTGGCTAACAAAGTTCATTTCAAGGACAATTTGCTAGGCCAAGGCAAACACTTTGTAGCACAGAATCTGGATCAAGTAGTTCACTCATTTTTACTAATCAGAAACCACAAAGGAATCTTTATTCCTCTTTGCTTTGTTTTACCAGCTCTGCTCCTTTCATGGTTTGCCATAAAGGGACACTAATTGCCTTGCAAATTGATTGGAGATGCTTACGCACATTACAAAAGCATTCATGTTTCTCTTTCAAATCGCATCTGTACACTGGTAATTTTAGGAGCTCTTCTTGGGTGTCCCATGGTATGTTCCACCAAGCTGTGCATCACTGTCCAATACTGCTGCACTTTCATGGACAAATAGAAGAAAAATAAAATTTCATTTTCCAGTGCAAACACTTGTAACCAATGCTGATACCTGGGCTACAGAAAAATAAGATGCATCTTCCATATCTACACAGTGTTGAAGTTTATATTGCAGACTTCCCATGAAAAGTTTGTGTAGTAAATACAAGCTATGTTTACAGCAAACATCTGCCGGTATCACTATAGCAAAAGACAAATGAAAAAAGTAATCTCTGACTATCGTCACTGTGCTGAAAGAACTCACTGGGGTAGATAGAGCCAGCCAAACAGGAATCCGTGGAGAGTTGACCTTGATTCCACCCTACACAATAGTTCAAAGCATAGCCTTGTCAGTTCTGTGTAGTTCTGTGTCAGAACAAAATATAAGTCCATGCAAGTTCTTTATTGTAGTCATAATCTTAGTTTGCTCCTCTCCACCCCAGACTTCACCCCAAATAACTCACAATTGTTAACATTCATTTCTAAGGAATTGCTTTGGTTTTCAAACTCTATATAATGAACTCACACACATCACTTTGACAAGTAGCATCTTTTTAAAACACTAATTTTCTCTAGTAACAATATGTATATTATTGTTTTTCAGGCAAGTTTTCAAAATTAGCCCTTCACAAAAGGAGCAGGACTGAAGGTAGCTCCTAGATTTTTGGTTCTGAGTAAGCTTACATCCTCTTGAGTCTGGCTTTGGAGTGAATATTTTCATCTCCTTAGTTCTCTTCTGACTTCTGCTTCAGTGATGTTCAAATTGTGATTGCTATTGCAGTTCTGAAATCTTGTCAGTCATTTGACAGATTTAATTCAAAGTCTTAATCATAGAGCTTCTCTTTAAATTACTGTGTATAATGTGTTTAGCAGAAGAGTCTTAAGGTCCGTGTGCCTTGTTCTTATCAATGAGAAAGGCAAAGTGCAACATGATCCTATTTCACTGTAATTTACAACTCTTCATATCCAACTTGTTCTTCATATTTCAAAAGAGCAAGAGAAATCAAGTAATTTTTTTAAAACATTTTTTTTAGTCTCTTTTTTCCCTTAGTGCAATAAAATCTAATATTGTTCCTTTCTCCCACATATTAGCTGTCTGAGACTCTTAAAAAGACCTCAGAATTCATTTGGAAAGATGACATATTTTACAGTATGTGTTTATTGTAAAAGGCATTGTACGTTTGACTGTTGTGCAAAAGGACTGGGGAAAATTCATGGCAGTGTTTGTAACTTTCTTACATTGGTCGTGAATTTGTACATCCAGGAAGCATTACTGTGTTCGGCTTGTTGACAACTTGGCATTTAAGTTGAGACTATTTGAAGATGGCTATATCATGATAGCTTGCAAAATTTGATTAGGATTATTCAAGAGAACGTCACTGACTTCTGAAAAGTCTAAACTTCAGAATGAGCAGAAAATATGCAGTGTTAGTAAGTTCCACATTAATATTATTGCCTTGGTTGCAAACTACAGTGTAAGCAATTTTGGATGTTGACATTTGCCACTGTCGCTAATCTTGGTACATTGCTGAGGCATCACTGGCATCTCCAGGCATAGATGTGTGTGTTGGAGGCCAAAACAGCCTTGGATCCATCCCTTGAAACCAGGTCTAGCACTGAGAGGCACTTGCACTTGCCTTATGCAGCAGATAAGCCCAGCAGGGTGTCAAGGCTTTATTCACCCCTGAATGTATCCCATTGTGCATGTGGACCATATAATATGATGCAGAGTGATGGTGAGAGCTTTGCTGTATAGTATTAGTCAGTGAGCTTTGTATGGCATTAGACATAGAGCTTAAT